AGAACCCCCCACAAGAGAGGAAGACCAGAACCCTCACACCTGCCCAGGCCAGCTCGCTGGGCTTCCCTCGCTGGATGAGCCCCAGCATGGGGAAAAGCAGTTCTGGAGCTCAGCCATGACTGGCTGGCGGAAAGCCCGAGACCCCCCCACTATGCCCAGGTGGCACAACTCCCCCTCCTTGAGCAGCTGATAAGCTGCCACACACAGAGCCAAAGGGTTAGCTGCTCCCTGGCCCATCAGCAGCAAGCTTGCCCAGTCTGGGGAACATCAGCTGACTCTCTGGGCACAAGCCTTTCCTTCTGCTTCCCCTTGCAGGATTTGACCTCCCGTCTCCACCATTGGATGTGCACCAGACCTCCCTGTCCCTGAGCTTTCCATTATCCTCACTGCTCACACACGGCTGCCCTTGGCTTTCGCTCTTCCCTCATCGCCTCTTCTCTCCCACGCAGCCCCCTGCTCCAAATGCAATTTCGCATCATTTAAGCCAAGATGGATTACGGGCGGGGTGGGGGGGGCAGTCCGCCCAAGTGCAGGCAAAGAGGCAGGCGGGGCCTCTCCTACACTCCTTGCCCTCCCCAAAAGCTTGCTTCTCCAAAAGGGACAAATATATTTGCTAGGTATTATTTACAAGAGCACAGGAAATGTAAGGAGCCTGTCCCCGTCGCCCTGCACCTCACACCTCACACCAAATGAAAGATCTCCTCCTCTTCCTCTAGGTTCAATAAGCCCAGATTCTTAGTGAGCTTCTTTTCATTCCTTGGCAAAGAGGGATAAGCCGGTTTACATACTGGCACGCAGGGTGTGTGCTACACACATATCATGTATGCACGAAAAAGCATGCACACACACAGTGCCGAGCTGAGAGCAGGAAAGGTGCATCAAGACCCCACGAAATGCCCTGGAAAGGCAGCTCTTCCACCTGCTCTTAGTTAAGCCTCTCTCCCCAGGTGCCAGCAGAGCTGCTGAACTCAGCCAGAACTGGAGATTCCTGCCAGAGCCAGGAATCTGGAATATGCTCCCAGACCTGCTTACAACTCCAGGGCACTATCCCTTCTCCCTGGCTAGATGCACAGGGACACACGTACACTCCCCCACACAGAGAGAAAGCTTCCAAGCCCAAAGCGAATTGCGAGACAAGGCTTTTCAGTCAATTGACTTAGAAGTGGGGGTTGTCACACACAACGCCCAGAAATCAGCAACGTTAGAATACAAGCGCAGCAGGTATGGAACAGCTCAGAGTTAATGACAGACTCTCGCACCAAACTCACCTCTCAAGCAGCTACAAGACAGCTCCATGGACAGACCCAGGAAGGGGTGCGCTCTGTCCTCTGCCCTGGCAAAAGGCTGGCATGTTGGCCATGGGGAAGGCAATTGTGCAAGGGGGGGGGAGGGACTTGCCTGCTACTGGGAGCTTGGAAAACAGAAAGAAACTTTAAGAGACAGCTTCCCACTCCCCAGAAAATCTATTTTCTACACAATCCAGGCAGCAGCTGGTGCTGCCTTAAAGCACCCCAAGGACTGGGCTACCCATTCCTGAGGCTGTCCTTGGGAAAAGATTTCCATTGGATCCACCAGCTAAGCCTAAGAGAGCTTAGGCCGTCACACAGAAGGATCAATATATGGACTGTTTGCAGGTGGGGGAAATCGTGCCCTGAATACGAAAGGAAGCAGATAGCAGCCAACAGGCCCAGCACCACCCTTCTGGGAGGCTGGTGGCGGAAGACTCTGCTTGGCAAGGAAGCCACCGGGGTGTCTCCTGCCAAAGGGATATTCTGTGGACTTTAATACTGTTTTATTGGTTGGGGTTTTATTATAGCTCTGCATGTGTTTATGCGGAAAGGTTTAATGAAGGTCAAGATAGAAACCCACAAGAAGAAACCAACAGAGAGAAACAAGGCAGAGTCTGGTCCTCCGAAGGAGCGACCAGGAGGCGGCAGCCCATGCCAGCCATTTCTGAGCTGAGCTCACTTCTGGAAAAGGAAGACTTTGGTGACCAGGAAATGTAGATGACCCCCTTGCCTCCCATCATCCACCCGCTGTCACCTTCTCACCAGAATGGGGCACCCCCCCACACACACACACTCCAACTGTCTGCATTCACTTTCTGGCTGAGTTTCCTTCAGAGCTGAGCAGTCTCCCTCTGGGTGCATGATGACACCCAGGAAGCAAAGCCGCTTAAGAGCTATTCCCCCTCCTGGAGAAAACAGGGGGGGCAGGGGGGATCAGACTCTGCCGTTCCCAGGATTCTTTCAGGGACAAGGAGCCATGCAAGTTAACTAGCATAAAATTAGCATAAACACGCTGTGTTCCCATAAGGCAACTTGCACGATAGCTGTGCACAAAGCTGGAGGCTGTTCCCCTTCCCCCTCCTGGGCGCACGTGCCTTTCTTCCTTTGGCAACGAAGCACGCCAAGTCCTCCGCAAGGCTCCCGAGGCCGGCCCAGTCTCCCTCCCTGCCTTTAATTAATTTTCAACAAATGTAACTCAATTACTAGAAAGCCTTTGCGCACCACCGCTGAAATGCGCTGGCTGGCCAGCCTTTGCAACCAAATATGCAGGCAGCTTGCCTCCGACCTCAGCAAACTCAGCCAATAGGGCTGGAGTTCCCTTCCCCAACCCTGCAGCCCAAACGCACACTGTCCATCCAGCCTCTCTGGAATCCGCATCTTGCATGCATGGATCACAGACTGTGAAGGTGCAGTGGCCATGGGGAGAGAGAGGGCTCTGTGCCCCTAGCCAGAAGGGACCACATCTCCCACGAGTGGCCAGTTCCACTGCCACAGCCACACACGTCTCTGTTTCTTTAAAAGAGTGGGTCAGATGTGGGCCGGGTGTGTGTGTGATAGATGCTCACCACCATCCAGCCCACAAGCAGCCACAGGAAGACACCTGTTCATCATAAGCCACTGGCACAGCTGTGCTGCCTACCTGCCTCTTTGGTGGGAAGTCTGTTGCTCTTTCTCAAACCACTCAGCTCCAACAGGGCCAGAAAGATGCTCACGTGTCCCACAAGCCCATTTCAAGCACCACGGTCACAAGTTCAAAGAGCCCGTCTCCTCCATAGTAGTGTCACTGAAGCCCACAGAGGCCCAAACTCTTCACAGCCCTCATGGCAAGGAACTTGAGACTCCCTCCCTGCTTTGGCCACCAAGGATGGTCTGCCAAGGTTGCAGGTTCAATCCATGTAAGGGATAGTTGCATATTCCTGCACTGGAGGGGGTCGGACTAGAGGATCCTCAGGGTCCCTTCCAACTCTATGATTCTCTATGACTCTATGATCTTGCAAGGCTTCGTCCTTGGTCTTTTAAGACTGGAGAAGTCAACTGAAGGAAGGTTGAGTAGCAGAACTGGCCTCAGGCTCCAGTTGTGTCAGTCAGCCCACACTTATATTCTTGGATTCAAGAAGCCTCCTCTGCTGCCTATCAAAACTCTACATCCTGCCCCTATCTCAACGGAAGAGCCAGAAGGGAAGCTCCCAACTTCATTCAGATAATTCCCCCTTGGAGCCCCCATTCCCAGCAAGAGGAAGGAGCCTGTGGCTGCCGAAAGACTCTCCCCTTCAGGATTCAGCATGGCTCAGCTCGAGCTTCAGCTTCTGTGAAATGGCTCCTCAGAGAGGAAGAGAGAAGAGGAGAATCCCACTCAGATCTCTCTGTGGAGAAGAAGATGAAATCTCACGCAGCAGAAACTGGAGCCTGGCTGTGAATCTGAGGCTGCAGCAACAGCAGCTTTACTTGGCAGAGCCTGTCAACAAGGGCCTGGTGCGGACTCGCTTGCCATGGCACTTCGCCCACTTTCAGTCTCACACCGGTTTTCATACCACTTGGCAGTTTTGTTTCCTCAAACCAGGAAGGAAACGTAAACAAGTCCAATTCAGGAGAGAGTGGGACAGCCATCTCTGTCCACAATTTGCAGAAGTGGAAATCACTAAACAGGAAGTCATTAAACAAGCTCAAGGCCACCCTCCAAGTCAGGTGTCAGGCACAGGCGGCCCTGGTGCACAAATTCTCCTTGTTTACAACATGCTTTGTGTTGGGGGGGGAGGGGAGAAGGACGCAGGCCAAATCATTATATTCAGGGACCAAATTTGACAGGTGGGTGGAGTTGCTCATGTGACAGCACAGTGATGTCAGGTGACCTTTTTGTCCGCAGGGGTCTTGCAGAGTGCTTTGCAAAGGGTTTCCAACTGGAAGCTACTTCCAAACACCCTTTCAGCTGAGCCAATTTTTTACCTGCGTGTCCTACAAGATGTCAGATGTGGGGCATGTGAGAAATGAGTTGGCTGAAGTGGCCTGGCAGCCATAAATTTCCCCTTGCTGGAGCAGAGCCTATAGGAGGAGCCTCCCATCCCAGAGCTCATTTGAGGGAGATGGAGGCTTCCAAGGCATAATTCAAGGGAGCACCAAAGCCCTTAACCAGAAGTGCAGGTTAAGGGACAAGAGTCCACAAGCCCAAGAAATGTTGGTAATTGGGGCCAAGACACAAGCCAACCCCAACCCTCTGTTGCATGGCACCTGCCAGCAGCAGCATCGCCCCTTTTGTCCAGATCAGATCGCATGCTAAGCGTTAGGATATACTATGCTTAAAAGCATCGGTGGGTCTTGGAAAGGCCGCCCCAAGGGAGAGCCAAGACGTTCCTCCTGGGGTAACCCCCTTCTTCCTCATTTGTGGTCGGGCAATCCCCCAGGAAGGCTCTGCCCTGAGGAGGCTCCAGAGCAATCACCAAACCCATCAGACCAACAATTTCCCTTCCAAGACCAGCGAACCTTCCACGAACCAGGCGAAACTCGCCCGCTTGCCCTCGGCTCTGATCGCGACCCTCCTGGACAGACAAATGGGGTGGGGGGGGAGGTTGGCTTTCATTCCATTAAGGGGCAGGGAGAGGGAGAAGCCGAGCTTCTAGGTGCCCCCCAGTTCCGCCTCCCCGGGCACGTGGGGGCTGCGAAGCCGAAGCTTCCCGGAGGAGGGCGCTTCGGTCGCCCGACCCCCATCCCTCTTACCTGGCGCAGGTGCTTGAGCAGGTCGGTGGCCTCCTCCTGCTTGCCTTGCTTGACCATCCCCAGCATGTCCTGGATAAGGCCGATCCGGCGGTGATACGGGGGGAGGCCGCCGCCGCCCCCTCCGCCACCGCCCCCCTTGCCAAACTTTTCTCCGGATCGCACGACGAGGGAGGCCAGGAAGTCGCCGCGCTCCCGGGGCGACGGCAGCATCCTCCGGCGGGCGGCCGAGGCGGCGGCCTGGGGGCTGCCGGGCAGCGGGCAGCCCTTGGTCTGCTTGGCGCCCATGCTGGATGGTGCCCAGCCGCCGGCCGGCCGGCCTTCAGCGGGACATGGCAGGCTCCGGCCCACGAGGAGCAGGCGCTGCTGTCGAAGCGCGGGGCAGCCGCCGGCCCAGGAAACACCGCGGAGGCGAAGAGGAGGAGGGGGAAGCAGCAGCTACGACGGCAGCGCCTTCTCCGGGCATCTCCCGCGCGCCCAGCAAGTGCCCCCTCCGGCTCCCGCAACTGCCTCCCTTCCCCGCCCTCTGGCAACTTCGGGAAAACTGTTGCACGGCAGACCGAAGAGGGAGGGAGGGGAGGAGGAGCCGCCAGCGACGGAGGAGGAGACCGAGACGTGCCCGCCGAGTGTCCCCGGCGAGCGAGCGAGGCTCTGGCTGCTGCTGCTGCTGTTGCCGCCGCCGCCGCCTCCCTCCGTCTGGAGCTGCTCAGGCGGGGCGGAGCCCGCCTCTCCCCGACCGGCGGCGGCCTTGTGTCTGCCTGAGAGAGAGAGAGGGACCGCCCGGCCTCCTCCTGGCTCCTCCTGCCGACGGCGGGGGGGGAAGAGGCACAGCCGTCGCCGCCTCGCCCTGCTCGACCGGGCTGCACGTGACGAGCGCGCATCTGAGGACGTGCAGAGCGCGCGCGCCACGGAGAAGCAGCTCCTCGGGCTCCCCCGCCCGTCCTCTTCACGAGCAGCTGCCGCCGCATGGAGCTCAAGGGAGGCCTCGCCACGACTGGAGCCGGGGGCTTCAGTGGCAACACACGCAAACACACACACACACACACACACACACGGGCGTGGAAGACGCCTCCCCATGCAAGACCCAGGCACGCCCCAACTCAGGTGAGGCGGCGCCTCCCGGGGCTCCCCCTTGACACTGGCCCCCGAAAAGCCGCGGGACCGGAGCTGGCCAAGGAGCCCGCCTTCGCGACACCTGGCCCGGGGGAGGGAGCTGCTGTGAGGCCCGGGGTCCCGAGCGCCTCTCCTCTCCTGCCCGGAGCACCTCAGAGACGAGGAGGAGCCACCTCCCCTCTCCCCACATCCCGCGTGTGGTTTCCCGCGCCGGGGTGGTTTCCTCCCCGCGAAGCGTTTGGGACTGAGGAGCTCCGGGCGGGCGGCTCAGCCCCGGACTGCGACCTGGCGACCTCGGGGCGCTGTTAAAACTACAGTTCCCATCCCGCTGTGCTGGCCCGCGCTCATGGGATCTGGAGCCGTCAGCAAAGCTGCACTGCAGAGCCGCCTTCGAAATGCTCAACCCATCCAAGCCTGGAAAGCAGAATTCATCGGGGGCTTTTGCCAGCGGGCAGTGGATCCACTAATGAACAGCTTGCCACGCCCCCCCCAAAAAACCCAGACACCACAAGCCAGCTGGACCGTTCTGTGTGGAAATTCATTCGGTGGAAATTCATTTGCTAAGTTGGTGCAGTGGACGGATTCATACATCTGAGGAACATAGGATGCTGCCTTTTACTGCCTCAGGCCACTGGGTCTACACTGACTGGCAGCAGGGGTTCTCCACAGGCTGGCGTTTAAGGTAGGGCCCCAAACGCTGCTCTTCTGCCACAGAATATACCCAGCTGTAACTCAGCTCTGCATCTCCTCCAACATAACTGTGAAAGAAAGAGGCAAGTGTGACATTAAGAAACAAGGGGTTGAGCCTGGAGCAGCAGCAGCCTGTGGGGTGTGGAAGATGCAGCCCTTCTTCAGAAACTCTCCACAATAGTAAAGTTTCCTCCTTGAATACATTTGGGCTTCAGAAAGTCTGGCTCAAGAGCATTTTAAGTAAGTAGGTTCCCTCTATTTTTATTTTTTATTTGCCAGGAAAGATGTTTTGCAAAGCCGCCTTAGTGCTTTTTTTAGTGAGCATAAAAGCAGGCAACTCCCTGAGGTTCTGATGGGCAGCTATTTATTATAGATTTTGGCCTCTGAATATCAACTTTAAAAATACCAGATGGGTTGTAGGAAGCCCTCCCCGCTTTCTGTCCCTTGAGTATTAAGTCTTTTAGGAGGGGGGGCATTTATTTTCAGGCGCCTGTTATGTAGAGTACCCAGCAAGAACTGCAACTGCATCAACTGACAAGCCAAAGTGTTGTCACAGGAAACATAGGCATGAATATTCCTGCTTGCTCTTGGACCAAACTCACCCATTCCAGTTACCTCAAAGGGGATCCTGTCGCCATCTAGTGATGGCTTCCTGACACATAAATTGTGAGGTCCAAGGTCAGTTTCACAGAAGCCAGTTTGGGCTCTCTCCACATTGCCCCAGGATCTGGATTGGCAACTTGGGGTGGTAAAAACAGGGTGAGATGGTGCTACCTCAGGACCAAAATGCTAGGCAGTGGAAGCCCTCAAGGTGGCTTTGTGACTCAACCAGGAACTCCCTTCCAGAATCACCGGCCTGGTTCTCTGGGTACCACCCACTGGACTGCTGCTGGGAACTGAAAAGCCCATATGGTTTGGATCTCATTGATGATTTTTTCTTATTGTCCATTTGAAGCTCAGATGCTGGTACACAGCTCCAGATCCTGGCCCCATAAAAGGCAGAAGAAGTTCCACATAGGAGAGTTGCCCTGTGATCATTCTAGCTGCCCTTTTCCAACTCTCTACAATATCCTTTTTGAGGTAAGGTGACCACAACTGTATTCAGCACTCCAAACGCTATGACGCCATAGTTTTGAATACAGTGGTATCTTGGTTTACGAACGGACTCTGAGAGTCCGTTTGACTCCCGGAACCATTCAAAATCAAAGCGCGGCTTCAGATTGGCTGCAGTAGCGTCCTGAAGCCAACCGGAAGCCGCATCAGACGTTCGGCTTCCAAAAATCGTCCGAAAACTGGGATACTCATTTCCAGGTTTCGATTGTTCAGGAGTCCCATTTGTTCAGGAGCCAAGGCGTTCGGCTTCCAAGGTACGACTGTAATGGCATTGAGTTATTGACACTTTTACTTCCCTTTCCATTCCTAATGATGCCTAGTAAGGAATCTGCCTCTTTTTAAAAAAAACAAAAAACAGTTGCTCCATATGGGGTTGACATCTTCATTGAGCTAGCTGCTACAAACCCAAAGTCTCCTCCTTGGCCAGGTCAGACCCCATGAGAATATATGTGAAATGAGATTTTGTGCCCCAGCATGCATCACTTTAACTTGTTTATACTGAATTGCATTTGCCATTTTACTGCCCATTCCCTGGGTTTAGAGAGGCCCTTTTTGTTTAACGACCCTGAACAATTTGGTATTGTTGGCCACCTTCACTGCTCAACCCTAACTGTAGATAGTTTGTGGTGGCTTTAAAAGAGGACGAGACAAATTCATGGAGGAAATCTCACACTGGGTGTAAGGTGCTTCCAGAAACAAAACACTCTCAAGGGAAATGAATGATAGTAATAAACTTTTATTTTGCAAAGCAATATCCACATCTTACAAACACAAAAAATTAACCTAGGAGAGAAATGTCATTAACAAATCAGTTACTGACCACCAAGCCCAAAGGTAAGTCAAATGCCACCTTAACTCTACAACATTTCCTGCAGAGGAAGCTGTAGGTGGGTGGGGGGAGAATAGGGAAATTACAAACCTTCATATCATGCCAGAGAAGCAAATTGGAATGGCAGGTTTCTAACGAGGAAACAAACAGAATCAAAACTGATTCAAGTAATAGTGAAAATGAAAAAGAAAAGAGGCAAGATCAATATGATCCGAACAGCCACTGTCACATTCCACTTGTATACCCTCCTGCCTGGAAGTGTCTGACTTCTACGTGCCCACCACCAGCCCTTCCTCCTCCTCCTCCTCCTTGCAGATCAGCTCTGAACCACTAACTACAATGGTCTAGAACGGACCATAAAAGCAAAAGTTAAGAGAAACAACATTCTTCTTCTGAAGCCCCCCATCTATTTTCCATTTAAAACTTCTGTTTGGTTGGGATTTTAATTTCAAGAGGATGCATTTTTATTTTTTTTAATCCACTACCAGACTCCTTGCCCAATCCTAGACCCCGAAGGTCTCTGGAGATCATCCCCATATCTTGGAGACGTGACAAGACACCAAGCAAGCAAATGAACAGATGAAGGAACTCTTCCCAAGGAAAGCAAAGCCACACATCGCATCCTTCTGTGCAAACGCTAAAAAGCCATTCTCAAAACTATCGTGGGGGAAGAAACAGGGTTGCTTTGATATGGAAAGATGCCGTGGCTGCCACCAGAGAGGGAAGCTGAAGGGGGGGCCGTTAAGGCAACCAGCAATGTCTTCAGAGCAGGGGGAGGGCGCGATGTCCTGGAACTCTCTACATTCTTAAAGAGTGAAACTGGAAGTGCAAACTAGGAAGCCACTCCAACGAGCGAGTCTGGAGTTGTACCCGCCTGGACAGCATCCCTTCGCAGCACAAACTGGCCCTCAGCATCTCTCTCCGCAGGCAAAAGGCACGGCAAACACCAGGCCTGGTCCCAGGGGGCAGCTTGCCCCAATGCTGGCTGCCACTTCCTTTCACCATCAGGGACTCCCCACCACCACCACCACCAAAGCCCAGCAGAAGCTCCCAGTCTGAAGAGCAAGAGCTGACCTACACATGAAGATAATAAAACTGCATCATTCCAGACAAGGTGCTCAAATACCTTCCCACATTAAGAAGATAAAAAATACCTGCACCTAAAAAAGCAAGCATGTCAGAGAGGCAGCCTGCCTTGAATCTTGTCCTCAATATTCTAGTTTCCTACAGACTGGAAGGTGGTGACACAGGTGCAGCAAACTAATTTTTCTCTCATACACCCTGACCATACTGTCTGGAATGGTGCAATCCCAGGAATTCTGTAGCATGTCACTTAATCTGCAGCAGCCTGATTTGAGGTCCAGGATGGCACCAATGGAGATTCTGCCTGTGTTGGCTTAAAGAAATCAGCAACACTTAAACAAACAAACCCAGAGTGCAAAGTGGAAGATGCTTCTCTTGCTTTCCTTAAACTAAAATTACAAGTACGCCATCTTTCCTAACTACAGCCAGTATTAAAATATGAATATGCCAGGTGGGGGTTTTTTGTCTTGTTTTTAAAGAAATCTAGAAATGTTGGTATCTTTCTGCAAGCAGGGAGGAATTGGGAAGAAAGAGGAACAAACACATTGACTCAGTGGCTTTAGAGCTGCAGTACAGTAGCAGAGAGGTGTGCCCTGCCTCAAACACACTGGACAGACCATGGGGGGAAATAAGGTGCTTTTTCTGAGACACTTGCAAAAGGCATCCGGACTGTCCCACTGCAGCAAGACAGACACACACAGAAATGTCTCTGGCTCCTTCACAAAACAGCCTGCCACAAACAGGCAAAGAGGCTCCCCACAGCCCAGGGCTGTATCGGCTTAACTTATTCCAAGTAGACTCCGCCTCCTATAAATAACCGTTACAGGCACTTAAAACGTCTTTGGTTGGAATAACCCAACGTCACAAGATAATTAATTCATAACGAACCAGGGTCTAGTTCTGGGTTCGGCAGGCGATGGTTGCAGCAGACACTGTCACTTTTGGAGAAAGGAGGCAGGGGGTCACGCTTCTGAGAAAGCAACCTGGAGGAGGAGAAGTCAAGAAAGAAAGGGGGGGGTTTGAGCTACCCATCAAGGAAGCTGGTACAGTGCCCCCGCCTGTCACTGTCAGGGCAGAACTAGGAAGTGGGGCCTGGGTGGGAATTAGAAACTGCACAAAAGTCCAACTTGCATTGAGCTCTTCACTGAGCACCACCCAGGAAAGTGAGCAGGATGTTGCAGCAGGGGCTGGTCACACTTTGCTCCTGCCTCTACAAACCTGCTTGGTTTCTGTACTGGCTGTGGAGGAAAAGAAGCCCCTTTCTTTCCTTCATTCCCTGAGTGTGGGGGCTGGGCGAAGTCATAGCAATCCAGCCCACTGCATTTTGGTATTGGACGTGCAGGGTGCAAAGGCCAGCAAAGACGGCAAGCGGACTGATAGTCGAGAGACAAGTCACTCTCCTCCTCTGCTGGGCTTTCACACAGGATTTGCAGGAGTTAAAAATCCTCTTCCTGAAGGCTACACATCAGTACCAAGTGGGCAGAAAGAGGGGAGCACTCTTGGCTTCCACTCTGCCAGCCCACAGCCTGCTTTGTACTCTGAAGGCAAAGGAGGGATGGAGCACTCTGCCTATCCTCCTCCACCAGAACCTTCTATGAAGGAGGAGGTGGAGGCGGCTGGTAAAACATTATGTACACTAATGTTCTTGGGGCTAATTTACCAGGCTGGCATGAGTAACGTCGAGTGGCTGGGGCAGAGGGAGCAGCCTAGCAGGCCAGGAGTCTACCCAGCTCAGTGCTGCTTCTTAAGCAGATGGGCTCTCCAGGGTTTCAGGCAAGGTTCTGTCTCGCAGCCCATGTCACAAAGGAGACCGTCTCGGAGACTCCCTCCCCCTGCCTGAGCCACTGACCAGAAGAGCAGCCACACCCCCACATACCTGCCTGACTCTGGGGTGGCTGCGCACAAGGCGCCCAGTCAATTGAGGCAACGAGATCCCATTATGTGGGCACTCAAGGGCTCCTTGCCCACCTACCTTTTCAGGACAGAACTCTGAGTTGCTTTGCCGCAGTTTGCTGGGCCTGCCTTTGATGACTGCATAGCAGAACATAGTGATGACCATCACGAAGAGGAAGTAGCTAGTGTGCATTAAATGCAGGTTGATGAGGGAGCGGTCGTCCTGCACAAAGGGAAGAAGAGGGGGAGGGCTGAGATTTTTCTGAGGCTGCAAGGAACTCTACGTGCAGTTTCCACCAAGGATGGGGGCAGGGAGGGAAGCATCCCCGAGGCTGTGTTTTGTACAGAGTGGATCCCCCCACCCACCCCTCCACATGTACAGTTGCAGAATTTGAGCACATTGAATTTGAGCAGTGTAACTGCATCACTTACATCCGGGACAATAACCGTCAGTTTGGGATTCAACGCGTGGTAGACTTTCCCAACAGCTCCTTTGTAACACCAGAAAGGGTTGTAGTCTTGGGCATATTTGGTGTTTGAATCCCTCGCAGTGGTGAAGATCTTGTACCAGAAGGTCGCATTGATGTATGTCTCTGGCACACAGTGCGGCGGCTGGCTGAGGAGCGAAGAGACAAGGGTGAGCTGGGTTGGTCAAAGCACAGCACAAAGCCGGCCTGAGACGCAACTCTGCCACACTAAGGTAGCTAAGCATTCCACACCCCTCTAACACCTTGATGGATTGATTCCCCGTGCTGCCCGTTCTCAAGCCACTCTCTTTGAGCTCCTGCCCCATTTTGTAAATTGGCTCTGCCTCCACCCCACCCCTCACACCCCACCTCCAGCACCAGCAACCAATTTACCATGCAAGGGTGTGGGGCAGCATGGGTGGTTTAGCAAGATTGCTCCCCTCAGCTCAAGTCCCACTCATTCATTTTTGGGAAGGGGGCCCAATCTGTATGTGGATAAACTACAACCTCTGCTTGCTGCTTCTCGAAATGTATCAAAAAGCCAATTAAAAGTTTTTAAAATATGAAGAAGCATATGAATAACCCTCAAGGAAAGCCACCTCTTGAACTGTCTCAGGGTCTCAGAGGCAAACCTGAAGGTGTTAAGCCGCCTCAGCAGGAGATGCTTACACTGTGACAGGGAAGACCCCAGCGGCAGCCGTGACGGTCATGCAGGTTGTGAAGACAGCCTGGTCACAGTGGCCGTGCAAGACGCAGTCATCCGAATTCCAGGCAGCCGGCAGCGTGAAGGTGATGTTGATCTCCTCATGTGCTTCTCTGCCTTTTGGGGGGATTGGCAGGGGGGAGGGGGGATGAGAAAAGAAAAACATTGAATTAGGTTCAAAGTAGAAGCAGGTTATGCTCAATAAGCAATAAGCAAGGGGAAAGCTGCAGCTGCAAAGAACTGCAAAGAAGCTTTGCTCCGGCCAGCTCAGGGTTCATTTGAAGCAGAGTGCAATACTCAAGAGTAGACCCAGTGAAATTAGCGGGCCCAAATTAGTCATGTCCAAGCTGAAGTACACATAACTGAAATAACTGCAAATACTTCCCCCTTCCCTCCCAGCTTAATTCTCCAACATTTCCCTGTGTCTGTTTTTGGAATGCATGCCCCACCCCACACCCTGGGCACTTCCTTGTAAAGCGCCACAGACACACAAGGTGCTGTATTAGCAGAGAGGCGTGTACTTTGGCAATCTCCCACAGGGCTCAGCACAAATTCAGCTGCGAGTCCTGTTGTACCTGAGAGTCCAATTTGATGTCCGAAAATGGTGGAGCTCAAGTGCGTGACATTCCGCGAGAAGCCCCCAAAGGGCTTGAGGGGGTCCAGCGTCAGGGTGATGGCAACCGAGGTGTTGACTGGACCAGAATCCTCAAGCGTCTGTGGCGACGGTGTGGAAGGACGGGCCTGGCTGCTGGTCATGGCACTTTCCGGGGTCGTGGTGTCATTTATGAGGTGCTTTAGCGTTTCATTCTCCGAAATGCAGAAGTCGAGGTCGTTGAACCGCAGAAGGAAAGTATTCCAGTCCTTAAAGACAAATGGGTCTTGAGTGCCCCTCCGGCTCTCAGCCCTCACCACGTCAGTGCCAAACACTCTGTGTCAAGACCAGCTCCAGGGAGCCAAACCCAACCCAAAACTAACCTCTGAATGTGATCAAGTCAGTTAAATCACAGTGAAATCCTGCATTTCTGATTCAGCTGGTCAGGGAATCAAAGGTTAAAGGTAAAGGGACCCCTGACCATTAGGTCCAGTCGTGGACGACTCCGGGGTTGCGGCGCTCATCTCACTTTAATGGCCAAGGGAGCCGATGTACAGCTTCAGGGTCATGTGGCCAGAATGACTAAGCTGCTTCTGGCGAACCAGAGCAGCACACGGAAACGCCATTTACCTTCCCGCTGGAGTGGTACCTATTTATTTACTTGCACTTTGACAGGCTTCCGAACTGCTAGGTTGGCAGGAGCAGGGACCGAGCAACAGGAGCTCACCCCGTCATGGGGAATCGAACCGTCGACCTTCTGATCGGCAAGCCCTGGGCTCTGTGGTTTAGACCACAGCACAAATTTTACAAGTATCCTATCATCTTTTATGAGGCAGAATGTCCCAGAAGAAAACAGAAGAGATCTAACCTCCCTCCCACAATTCTACAGCAGACAGACATGCAATGAAACAACAATTGTCAAGTCTGTGGGTCTTCCCCATTCTTATCATTTCAAACCTGAATGGTCAAAGCCCGTTTGTGGTCCCAGGAGGGTGGCTGCAGAACGGAAGCACCTGAATTGTCTTATCAAAATGAAATCTGCCTTAAGCCTTTGGACCACTCACTCCTCTGACCCAGGCAGCCCAGAGTCTTTGGGCAGAGACAAGCCATCTTTTGGCTCCATTCCCCCAGAAACCAGGCTCCTGTCCCATAAGGCAGTAAATTCATTTCTGTCCACGTGGTGGTATTTCTCTCCGGCCCCAAAGGCCAAGCTTCCAGAGCACATCCACCCTTAAGGTGTGAAAATTCAAGCACTGCTTTGTGATCTACCTCTGTCATTTCAGGCGACTTGATCTCCTTGATTTTGAAGAAATAGCCCAGAGTCAGGAAGGCGATGGCCATGGCACTGACACTGATCATGAACACCACCAGTGGTGGGCGGCTGCTGATGTAGACCTTGAGGTTCTCCAGAGGGTTTATGTTGAACATTATTCTGGTCAGGCCTACCTGAAAAACAAGGAAACCGCAAACTGGAAAGAGGGCACCACATTCACTGCCAGGAACCCCAAAAGCCTAATTACTCTGAATGGCCCAGAACTTGTCCCAGGGAACAATCTAATGATATCAAAGCACACAATTGCAAAGGCTTCAGGATAAACGGAGAAGCAGTGAGACTCTGCCAGAGCAAAGGCTTTTTGTCAGTACCTTGTCTGCAAGGGACGCAAACAGAAGGAAAAGTAGCACCCCATGTCCCCCTCATATTCACCCCATTTCATTTATGCAGATAGAGGGATAGGTTATTCTTCCCCACCATGAAGAAAACCGAAAGGGGCTGCAATTATTCTGGAAGGTCCTTAGGGAGAAGAATTCCAAGAGGCTTCTGCCTGCTCTTTTCGATCACACCCCCTATACACACACACACACACACACACACACACAGCCTCAAGAAAGGTGCTGGATGGCTTACTAGTTCCCCAGGCCATCACGAGATTCAAGTTCAGGGGCTCTAGTTTCAAGAGCAAAAGTCCCATTTCAAGAACACAGGATGGGAAACCTGTTTTGTTTTATTTCCACCTCAGCTGAAAAACACTGGATTGTATTATTTTGTGGCATCCGGATACCACCATGTCTTCACCTCGAACCCACCACCCCCTGGGCCCAAGCACTGGCTGGCTCATGCACTCCCTAGGCAAGCGAGGCCTTGGGCCTCCCTGCTCCCGCATTGCCTGAGTCAGATGCTTTTGTTCTCCAGGTGGCCCTGAGAGCTCAGCCCCCTCACCTCTGCCTCATGCCCTTCTCTTGCGCTTGGGTGTGGCCAGAGAGAGACACTCAGTAGCCTCCCAGGGTCTTGTTACCAGGTCAGCAGTTCCTGGTGACAGATGAGAAGGCCTAGGAGAGACGTCAAGGAGCCCCTTGTTTGCAAGAGTGGGAATCAAAACAAGCAGAACCAGAAGAAAGCCATCTTATTAACTGTCATTATTTGCTTCACAAATGCCAGGTCTCCTAAAACTTGGATTTGAATTCTGTTTCCTCATAAACAAATCCTTCCCCTGTATCAAGACTGACATTCAGGAAGTTTGTTTAAAAAAAGAAAAGGAAAAAAAGCAGACAGCAGAAAGAAGTTGTCCCTCCATGCCGTCGGGGCTGGGACTCTGGTGCAGGAGCTGCAGTTACCTATACTTCATCAAAATTAAAGGTAATTTCAGGGAAGTTTTCCATAGCTAATGAATAGCAATATGGTCCAAGGTAACAGCTCCCTACCCCAGCAAGCTGCTTGCAGCTCAAACCTAAATTAAAAAGGGGGGGGAGCCCCCCAAGTGAACCAGCAACCCAACCAGAGAGAGAAATGGTGTTTATGTTCAGTAGACCATTCAAAGGTTAAAAAGCAGAGCCACTTGCCAGGGTGTAGCAATTTAACTTGCAGGGAACACTTTGTGTCCTTCGGTTGAAAAATGAGAGAAAAACACCACCACCCCACACTGTCAAACATTACCCAAAGGTAAACAGCACAGGATGAAGATCCAGGCCTTGTAGAACAGGAAAGATCAGTTCAAGAGCCCAGCTGTCTCTGAAGCACGGAAGCAAACTTGGCGGGGTCAGCTGCCACTTGGAATACATCCAGGCGTTTAAGGTGATGCCCAGACAGACGTTTCCTCCATCAGTGGGAGATTCTTAACTTGTTTTAGAAAAAAAATATCCAACTTTCCTGCAAAAGTTGAAGGTGGCTCACAAAGGAGGAATAGTCGTACCTTGGAAGTCCAATGGAATCCATTCTGGAAGCCCGTTCAACTTCCAAAACGTTCGAAAACCAAATTGCGGCTTCTCATTGGCTGTGGAAGCCCCGTCGGACGTTCGGGTTCCAAAATAATGTATGCAAACCGGAACAATCAGTTCTGGGCTTGCGGTGTTCGGGAGCCAAAACGTCCGAGTTCCAGGGCGACAACCAAGGTATGGCTGTACATAAATGCAATTAAAAATCCCTAAAGGTAGCAGCTGACAAAGACATTACGAGCAGCAGCTGAAGAGCTACTAAAGGCCAGGTGGCTTTCTGGGAAAGGGATGTATTTGCACAGTGGCCAAAAACCATCATGGGGGAAGGTGGACCTCCCTGGGCAGGTGGGAGCACCAGAGCTCAACCGTGGCTGCCACAGGCCCTTTTCCTTTTTTAAAAAATATGCTTTATTGTTCATACTTGCATCTGTACATCAAATACATATCTTCCCTATTTTACATAAGTCAGTTTTGTCAAAACGAAAATCCAACGAAAGAATGTAAGTCCTCCTACAATATATTTAGTACATAAGTTTGACTTCCTGTCCTTTCCCAATTTTCCCACTCTAATAAACCTATTGCCTCAATATATTACTCATGAAATAATAATTTACATACATCTATAAATCTGTTTTCTCCCTTTGAACCTATATTACTCGCAGAGATTACTCACAGGCCCTTTTCCTGGCAAAACAGGAGCAGGCCAGTGTTGATTATCTCAATACTTGGGAGAGTTCTCTGTCAGTCTCCTCAGAACTCTGTCCTCCTGGGCCTGACTCTGGCAACAGACTCAGCTGACCAAGCATTTGCTTGTGAACCAAGCAGGAAGGCTGAGGTCAGGGCAAGCAGGTTGCAGAGAGACTGTGCAAGGGGAGCACTTACCTTGCCCTTATTACGCTTCCTGCTCTCTCCCTTCAATTGCTTGCCACCTGTGTCTTATGTCAGAAGCACTTCAACAAGTCCACCTGAGGACTGGAAGGCGCCTGCCTTGCCCACCAGCCTTCCTCCAGGGAATCTGCTGTGAATGCCAGAGAGGTTCTGCCACTGTTCCAGAGCTCCCAGACATTCTGTCAGTCACAGGGACAGTGCATGGAGTCCCTGCAGGGCACTGGACTCAGCTGCAAGTTGCCAATTCCTTCCCACTCCCTGCTTTTGAGATTGGCAACAGGCATTACACAGGAGCAGTCTCTGCTCCTGCTGCTGACCCAAATCCCAACAGCAACTGTGGGGAGCAAGGAAAGCAGTGCAAAAAGGGTTGTGGGGCGGTGGGCGTCCTCTCACTATACCTGCAACTGCTTCACCCACCCTGCTTTCCTTGGGCAAAAAGCAAGCATGACGGCAGGAGAAGGGAGACAGAAGCCCCCCCCCAAGTTCCGTCCACCTGGGACAGGAAATAGCCACCTACGGACGGAGCCTCTCTGCTACTGCTGGTCCCCCAGGTGCGGTTGCCTTCCAGCCCCAAGAGCAAGGATAAGAAGGATGGGGGCTGGAGGCCAGCAGCATCCGGAGGGGCGCCGCCCGCCGGCCACAGGTGCTCCGCTCACCTGGGATGGAGATGCTCCTGCTTGTAGCCTTTAGTGAAGGAGTAGAAGCCAAAGCCTGCCCTGCCCTAGCCCCTCCCCTTCCGCGTGAAGCCACAAGGAGCAAAGGCAGAGAGGCTCCAGGGCGGCGGCGGCGGCAGCCGGACCCAAAGGACTGCTCCTCCCCTCCTGTTGCCGGAAGTTTCCCTCCTCCTGACCAGACGCTACCGTCAAGCAGGGAGGGAGGGGGAGGCCCAAATCCGAGGAGGGGGAAGGGGCATGGAGGGGACATCATGGGCGCCCCCCCCCGGTAGGTGTGCTGGCTGGGGGGGGAGAGGAACCCTCCCTCATTCCCTCCTTTTAATCCCCCCCCGGTTCCTCGCCTGCCTGAGGGCAGCGGCAGCCTCCCCCTTCCTCGGTGTGCCCCAAACAGGCCTCGGGACCTGGGGGGGGGCTCTTCCCCCTCCCCGCCCAAGGAGACGCACTAGCCGCGTTGGGGGGCACTCTGCACATGCGCAGGGGCCCGCCCAGAGCTTACCGGCGGCAGGCTCAGCGCCGGGGCTGCAGCATCTTCCTCTTCCTCCTCCCTCCGGCTGCTTCCCGGCCGCGGCCGCCGCGCGAAGAACCCTCCTCGGCTGCCCCGCCCGGGAGGAGAAGCAGCGCGACGGCGGCGCAGCGGGGACAGACTTCCTCGGCCGCCCGCGAACGGGAAGATCCGGGTGACGTCAGCGCAGCGTCGACCAAGCCCCGCCCCTCCCGAGTGCAAACGGAGTTCCGAAGCGCCTGCTAAGAATGCGGGGAGGGCGGGAGGGAAGCCGAGCCGGCTGGGGCTCTGGGCGAGGGGGTTCCCGGCTGCGCCCTGCAAAGGTTGAGCCGGAGTGGGGGGGGGGTAGTCGCATAAAAGGCCCCTTTCACACCAAGAGCGGCTCTTGCCTCGTGGCTCCACCTGGTCAGCCTCAGGTCAGGTAACCCGTCACTGGCTTAGAAGTGCGTTACACTTAAAAGACAAGATGCGCCCTGGAACTCAAGCGGGGCGTGGGGGAGAAGGGTGGTGATGGATGAGCTCCCTCGGTTTCTTTCTCTGCCTCTCCCCGCCCCCCAGCTCCTTATTCTAACGGGGCTCCGGGAGGGACGGGGCAAGTGCGACCCCCCTCCCCGGTCATCTCATTGCAACTCCCATCACTAGTGAGCATGCATGACCCATGATCAGCCACGATGGGGCTTGCTCTCGAGGGTCTGCAGGTTCCTCACGCCTGGAATATATCTATACGCTACTTCCAACTGAGAGGTGCTGGCTCTAGCCCTCCTGCATACACTACACCCATCCTTCCCTCTGAAGCCGCATCTTCCTCACCACTGGGCTACTCATGTGCAACTCGGACAACGGCACAATGGAACAACAAGGCAGCCCCCAACAGCCTGCTGCTAAATCAAGCCTTTGGAACCCCTCCTTTTTTTTTTTTTTGCACAGCTCCCCAAAGTCAAGGTGGCCTCCAGAGGTCCCTGATGCTGGAACTCTGCCATAGTAGGGCCCGGGGGATGAGTTGATGGGCTCCATATGAAGGAAAGGCAGCCTAGAAATGTAATCATTGCATAAATATTTCCCACTGGCTCCTCCCTCCTCAGCCCCAATCCACAGCAGGTTTCTTTCCCCTCCATAACACCCACCAGAGCTAATGGACATCCAAAGCAGGTGAAAGTTGGAAGCCTCCGGACAGATAAAAGGACTTTTTCACACAGCACACAGTAAAACTATGGAACTTGCTCCAACAGGAGACAGTGGTGGCCTCCAATCTAAATGGCTTTAAAAGAGGATTGAATAAATTCATGGAGCATGTCCACTAGCCATGATGACTATGCTCAGCCTCCGCTCTTCTTGAATAGCAATTGCTGGAAACCACAAGAGGGAGGCCTCTTGTGCTCAGGTCCCACAAGCGCAGGAGTCAGCAACCTTTTTCAGCAGGGGGCAGGTCCACTGTCCCTCAGACCTTGTGGGGGGCTGGACTTTTTTTGGGGGGGGGAATGAACGAATTCCTATGCCCCACAAAGAACCCAGAGATTCATTTTAAATAAAAGCACACATTCTGCTCATGTAAAAACACCAGGCAGGCCCCACAAATAACCCAGAGATGCATTTTAAATAAAAGGACACATTCTTCTCATGTAAAAACACGCTGATTCCCGGACTGTCCGTGGGCTGGATTTAGAAGGTGATTGGGGCCTTTGTTTGCCTACCCATGCACTAGTGTGTTTCCCATTAAGGGCATCTGGTTGGCCACTGTGAGAACAGGAGGCTAGACTAGATGGACCGCTGGCCTGATCCGGCAGGCTCTTTTGATATTCCTGTCTTTGTATGAAAGAAGCCCTGCTGGCTGGAAGGGTGAGTGAAGACACCAACAACTGCAGCCCTGCCAGGTTGAAGACCAGCAGCAAGCAAGAACTCCAGGTGCCACACAGCAGGTCTGCCAGCAACATTCCAAAGTAGCAATACAAGGAATGTATACATTAGATGCTTCCCTCCAAAGGAATAAAGCCCACTTCTATCTGAAAACCACCAAGCAACTACTGCCTGCGGTCTGTTCAACTGGCCTCACAGCTTGCTCCATCTTGAAGGCTGGGAAAGAGCACCCAATGAAATGTGCACCTGAAACATGCAAGTGAAACAGCAAATCTGAGCTACAAGCTTCACTCCTGCCACCAACATCCAACCTGTGCAAAGAAGCAGCATTCTAGTATTTCTGCTCCCTTGAAAAGGCTGAGCTATTTGTTCCAAGGCCTGCCACAACTTCCTGCTGCCCAGTCACTCTTGCGCCTATGAAGCCATCCACTTGCTCACTCTGCTTGAGCTGTCACAGAGTTCTTCTGCAGAATACATGGCAGTCAGAACTAAGGCTCCAGGCTCCACAGACAGTGAAAATGCTGAGATCTGCCAAGTCCAGGGTAGGAACTTTACTTGCAACATGAATCTTTGATAAAGTATTAATTGTATTGATAGGTAGCTACATATCAGGCTTTAGAGGGGGGGCACACACACTTGAACAGTCTTTTACAATGATAAAACACTGCATTTACTTACTTTTGTCAGGTATGATCTTGAAAAGCCATATTTAAACACATACGGTTCAGTTAAAGTTTTTAAAAAGGAAGCTTTAGAGACCAAATGCTGTTAGTTTATCCTCCCTGCTTCCTAGGCTCCAGGCTGCTCTTCTCTGAAATAAAAGCTCACAGCTCATGATCCCTCAATTTCCCAAAGCCCAAAACAATTGTCTATGGATAAAAGTGGGAAGGGGGGGGGCCTCCCACTTTGCCAAGGGGAAGAGGCAGAAAACCCAAAGATGGAAGACTCATGGAAAACTTCAAAAGGGCAAGGCAATAACTTTTTCTGCTACAGGCAAAAAATTATTCTGGGTGCTTCACAACTTCCTGCAGAACAAAGGGGAAGGGTGTTGGAAGGAGAGCCACACAGAGAAGAGCTTCCCAAGGAAGAAGGAAGAAATAACTACCTTTGGCATTGGGGGACATTTGTGGCAAGGGAGAATGAATCAACCAAAGACATTCATGTCATGAGAACAGAAATTGTGACAGAATGTAGGCACACGTCCTATGCTGGGGGCAGTGATCCACCAGAAACTGGCCCTTGCAGCTGCTCCCACCAGTTCCACTCTGGCTTCAGGCCTGAGTACCACACCCAGCCAGCCTTGGTCACCCTGATGATTTGTTTTAGCAGAGAGATGCAGGGGGCAGAGTGCTATCCCCTGCTTAAACCCTCTGAGGCTTTCAATACCACTGATCGTAGTATCCTCTTTGAGCAGCTCTGGGAGTTGGCATTTATTGCTGTGGTTCCACTCCACTACCAGAGACCAGCACTGGCAGATAAATGCTCAGCCGCCTGGCAGCCTCGTGTAGCCTGCAAGGTTCTAGATTTTGTCCCACATGCTGTTTAACATCTCCTGCTGGGGTGTGTAGTACGGTTTTGTGGTGCAGCATCATCAATATGCAGATGACACCTTACTTGCTCCTCTCTGTTCCATCAGAATCAGGAGAGGCTGTGCAGGTGCAGCCTACAAACGGAAGCTCTGTCCCTCTCTCCACCTGTGGCAACCTGGCTATCCCTTATTTTGCATGCATTCAAGCAGCAATTTAAAACTTATTTGTTCCTGCAGGCCTCTATTAGGTAACGTAATTGATGTAACTGTCAACTGTACTTTATTGCCAATTGTGATTTTGCTTTGTTTTTAGATGTTGGTTTTGTGGATTGTTGCAAGCTGCCCTGGGCTCTTGTGAGAGGAAGGGCAGGGCAATAAGTGCAATAAATACTTCTAAAGCTACTACTACTATTACTAAGAACAATGATAATTTCAAAAGGGCCTGCACAGGAGAGGCTCTCATCAGGCACACTATGGGGCGGAGCTTCCATTCAATCCTATGCACACACACAACCATGTTCTTCATATATATATATATATATATATATATATATATATATATATATATATTGAACTGCACATATGAAACCACCATGGTAGCTTTCACACTGTAGCCAACAGCAAAAAATAAAAATCACAAATATATATATATAAAAGTTAGTATTTCCAATGCTGGATTCCTTTGAACGTTACAGATGGAAATAATTTTAAAGTTACTTTCAAAGACAAAGAAAAAGCACCTTTCAGGATTTCGTGTACCCTTTTCAGAGGCTTCCAACTGTTCAATCTTCATTTTAAGTAGGAAAGGATCCTGGAAACAGAAAGCCAGTTCTGGTGGGTTCTATCCAGCATTGCTGGCGTGGACTGTTGCTGCCTTCACTTGGGATTTGCTGCCAGTATCATTCCGGAGGAGGAAGAGCAGGCAGCAGCGGCCGCTGGAGCTAGCCCTCAGAGCCTGCCCCAGCTAGCAACCCGCAGAAGGACCAAGGTGGTCATCAAGGAAAGTCCCAAATCCTTTGAGGGAACTGCTGGAACCATTTCCCCCTCTTAAAAGAAACCAGTACGTGGAAAGCCTAAAGAACATACAAGTCTCCTACAAAACCCCCAACTGCTTTCTAGGGGAACAAACACACAGACATTCACTCACGCACTCTTAGCCAAGGTCACCTCTCTCTGCCCCGCAGGGCCACCTTGCACCGCAGGGATCGGACATTCAGCAGGGCAAGAGGCTCCTGGGTCACGCCGGGCCCGGCTCCCACTTTGGGGCCGAGGGCAACAGTCACCTGGGAGCGGCAGCAGCAGCGCCCCAAAGGCCGTCACGATTCTGTGTCTGAGCCTGAGCTGCTCTCCCGGCTGATTTCGATCTGCAGCGAGGGCAAGTTGTCAAGGCGGCTCTTCTTCTGGCGAGACTGCTCCTTCTCTTTGATGAGGGCCCCCCAAGCCCGCTGGAGCTCAGAGTCCTCTTCTTCGGGAGAGGCCGACGACTTCTCTGCTTTCTCGGGGACTTTCTCCTGCACCTTTGCTGCGGATCCTAAACGGGTCCATAAGTTTGCTAATAATATACAGAAAGAGAGAGAGATTAGAAGAATTGGTAGCAGCAAGGAAAAGGGGCACTCCCAGATAAGCACCAACTCCCGAGTGACACATTGCCCAAACTGGGGTTTTAATGAGCCCTGACATTCTCTGCACACCGAGGATGAAGGTGAGGCTCAAAGTGTGGTCCCGCTTTACCAAAGCATCCCCCTCATTCATAAGAACTTCAGAACAGTCCAGCTGGATCAGGCCAAAGGAGGCCCACTGAGTCCAGCATCCTGTTCTCACACCAGCCAACCACATGCTGCTTCTGAGAAGCCTGCAAGCTGCCTTGCTTCCCCAGCATTTAGACAAAGGCATAAGAAGAGCCTGCTGAATCAAGCCAATGGCCCATCTGGTCCAGCATCCTGTTCTCGCAGTGGCTCATTCCACTCTGCAACTGGAACCAAATAAAAAGAAAAACCCAACAGAATTGTTAGAACCCAATACTAAGAACTTGTCAAGAATGTATAATTTGCTGCTGAAATGGAATACACAAGATGAAACAGTAAAATCAGCTATGATCAAATGGGCACAAGACATAGGTCATGACATTATGTTTGATGACTGGGAAAGGTTATGGAATACTGGTGTTAGATTTACGGCTTGTAATGCTTTGAGAGAAAACATAATGAAAATGATCTATAGGTGGTATATGACCCCAGTCAAACTTGCAAAAATTTACCATTTGCCCAATAACAAATGTTGGAAATGTAATGAGACTGAAGGTACTTTCTATCACCTTTGGTGGACCTGCCCGAAGATTAAAGCCTACTGGGAAATGATCTATAATGAAATTAAAAAGGTCCTTAAATGGACATTTTCTAAAAAACCAGAGGCTTTTCTCCTGGGCATGGTGGGCCAATTGGTGCTAAGGAAGGACAGAACTTTTTTTATGTATGCTACCACAGCAGCAAGAATTTTTCTGGCAAAGTATTGGAAGACGCAGCAGCTACCCACTCTGGAAGAATGGCAAGCGAAGGTGATCGACTACATGGGAATGGCAGAGATGACCGGCAGAATCCGTGACCAGGGGAGTGAGACAGTGGAAGAAGATTGGAAGAAATTTAAAATATACCTTAAAAATTGTTGTAACATTGAGGAGTGTTGAGATGCTATGGTGTTAAGAAACAGAGAATTGCAGCTGTATATCATAAATTTAAGGGAATTATAATGAAGATGAGTTAATTAATTAAATGGAGGGTTGCTGACAAAAGGGAAAAATAAGGATGCAGAAAAAGGGAGGTATGGGGAAGTCCGGGAAATAAGGTGAAGGAAAATGAGTTTATGAAATTATACATGTTTATTTGTTTGTATGTTTTGTTTTGTTTTATTGTTTGTTTTCATTACATGTTTGGAAAATTAATAAAAATTATTAAAAAAAAAAAAAGAAAAAGAAAAACCCAACAGCATTGTTGCTCTTTCCTTGACTAGGCAAGCACATCTCTCTCTTGAGGGTAATGCTGAATATGGGAGGGTGGGTGGACATTAACAGCTAGTTTGGGCGGGGGGTGGGGGGTGGAGAGAGACAACAAAGAGCCAAATGTTGGCATATGAAATATTTTTGACTGAATCTCGTCAATAGTTCTACCTGGGACCTGTGTTTCCTTGACTGTAGTTCCACCAAGCCACTCTTCTCGGGGCTGGTGCAGATGCAAATAATTCTTGATACAAAGCAAAACATTTTCAAATGGCTCTTTCTAAAGCCAGACTAATTCAATACATTGCATTGTTTGAGTATATTACACCAATCCTGGCCCAACTGCACTGGCTGCCAATTAGTTTCCAGGCGCAATTCAAGGTGCTGGGTTTGACTTATAAAGCCTGAAACACCTCAGGACCGTGATACCTCAAGGACCGCCTCCCTCCATATGAACCTACCTGGACTCTGCAGTCATAATCTGAGGCCCTTCTTCACGTGCCGGCTCCAGGAGAGATCCAGAGGGTGGCAACAAAAGAACGGGCCTTTTCAGCAGTGGCTCCCCATTTGTGCTCTCCAGGGAGGTTCGGTTGGCACCTTCATTATACACCAAGTCTTTGGCTGATTAATATTCTGTGGCCTTTTAAATGTGTTGTGGAAGGGGGAATTATTGGTTTGTTTTTGTTCTTATTATGTATTTTCTGTTTTTATATTGTAATTTTATTTTGTGAACTGCCCTGAGATCTACAGATAAAGGGCAGTACACAGATTTAATAATAATAAAGAGTTTCATCTACATCATACTCATCTTCCAAGAAGTACAAAGCGGAATTCTCGCCTTGCAACAAGGAGTGAAAGTTAGGCCAAGAGACTGATTCACCCAGTCAGCACCACCATGCTGAAATCCCTGCTCAATCTGCTTTTGCCACACTATCATTTCTGTCCAATGGTTCAGCCTCAGCGTACTTGGTGATTCTGTGGTCCTCTCTGGGCCACCATTGTTTTTATAGGCAAGCTTGGTTGACATTATATAGCACCTTCTCCGCCAGGGACTGACCTGACTTCTTCTCTCTGGTATCAGAGTAGAGGCCTTTCCCGTCCTGCTTGGGGATGCCCAGTCGACTGTGCACATCGGAGAGAGGCTCACGGTGGGACGTGGAGGGGCTTCCAGGTGGGGTGTGGGCTTCTGGGGAGTGTGGCCTCTTGCCAAGCCTCTGCCGAACATCTGGAAACAATGGAAGGAACAGTCACCCACTGGACACAATTCTGCTTGCTATTATCCCCACATTCCTCCACCTGCTGCAAAGCACCCGTACCAAGCTGTGTGTATGGCAAGAAGCCTTTGATCCAGAAGTCAGACGGAAGGGTAGCAGTGACAGAAGGGTGGGAGAGGATAAAGGTGGAGCAGAGGAGGAAGAGAATCCTGGGAAGGCGGGGGAGAGCTGGCCCAGGATGAGATCACAAAGCGTCCCCTTCTGAAATGGATTCTGAGAGGTAGCAATGAGCCTCGTTGGCTTTCCAGCTCCAGGATGGCATGTAGGAGCATGGTAGGTGCTGAAGCTGAGGACCTTCCTAGCAGGCAACTTTTAAGGATCAAAAGGGCCAATCAGAAGGCAAGACAGCAATCTGCGGCTTCACCAGATGTTTGCTTCAAAGCAAGGGAAAATGCGAGAAGGAAACTGGAGGGTTGCGGGATCTCAGAGGTGACTTTGTTGAACATACAAAAGACATGAAACTCCTTCCTCTTTGGACAAATAATTTTCTTATTTATGTACAATGCACTGTACTGTGTGTATTCAAAGTGCTTCCAGGGCACTGTATATCAATAATACAAAAACGCTTACAAAAACTAGATCTCCCTAAAGCAGAAGCAGACTGGAGCAGCCCCCCGACAGAGAGGACCCCCATACCTGATCTCACGGAGTTCAGTGGCTGGCGCGGGCTGGGGTTTCCCTGCCGCTTTTCCTCCAAGAGCAGCCGCACATCAGCCACTTTCTCTGAAGTCCCTTTGCTTCCAATTCGGTTCTTGATGTTGCTGGCTGCAACACTATCTGCTCTCATCGAGTTCCTGTGATGTTTAAGGAAAAAAGAAAAACAATTCCTAATTGGCCCAAGGCTTTCCAAAAGGCCTTTCTGCATGGGGGAGGGTTTTTTTGTGGTGCAGGTGTGCCTGTTGGCGGTGGGGTCAATATTGCACCCTGGAAAGAAAAGGCTGAGGCACGTTGCTTTTGTTTCTCCTCTCTCTCCCAGTGTGCTCCCAAAAAAGTGGTGGAGAGGATAGCAGATCAGGCCTTATACCAAAATAAAGATGCCAATTCCCCCTGCTTAGCTGGAAGACCCTCTCACATTCTGCCCCACTGAGCCAATGGGGATGGGCCTCCCAGGGAAACTAAAGGCCTTGAATGCAGAAGGCCCAGCCAGCCCTGGCCATCCGAGAAAGGGCAGGGCTCACACACTGGCACTCTGGCCACCCCCTCCTGGCCCTAATGGGATGGCTCAGGCCACTGCTGCTTCACTAGGATGCCTTTCTGAGAATCAGAGGCCTAGTGGTCATACCTGATGCTCTTCAACTGAGACTCCACCTCGTCGGCATACATGGTCATCTTCATGCTCTTCTTGGGGGAGGGAGTGGAGATCATCTTCAGCTCCAGGTCATAGTCCATTTCATCCGAGTCAGACTCACTGGCTGCGCTGGACCGCCGGGAGGCACTCCGCTCCCGCGACTGCTTGAACGCTTGCAGCTCATCCCTGTACTCCACAACCACCCGGTCGTCTTCATCCATGTCCTGATCATCATCATCTTCCTCCTCCTCTTCCTCCTCAATAGGTTCCTCAGGAACATTTACTAAACCTGCAGAGCAAGAAAGTCATTTTAAGAGACAGCATCAGAACTGCAGAGTTGGGAGGGAGCAAAGTCATCCAGCCCAACCGTCTTGGGAAGGAAACCCTTCACCACAGCAACACCTTTGAAGGGAGAAGATGGCCTCTCCTGGTCTCTGCTGGAAAACTTCTAAAAAAGGATAACTCACCACCTTCCCCAGTATCCCAGCAATAGCTGGAAAGTCCATACTGGGGCAGAACCCACTCTACCAAGGTGAGGCAAGGGGCACATGGGAAAATAAAGTAGGCAAAGGCCAAGGGCAAAATAAATGGATCCATTTGCATCCCAACACAAGCCTTTCTGCTCTGCAATCACCATCATTAATTGTACTCAATAGCAGAAATAATATGAAATGGATTTTAAGTTTTTTAAAATAAGCCCTAATAAATGGGCTAGCTGCTAATTAAAGTACAAGATCACAACTTCCAGAATATTGTTGGAAAGTTCTTATGATGGTTTTTAAATTAACTGTATAAGAATAAAATGTTTTTTCTCATATTCTTGTTGATCTTGTATGGATTTTTTTTTTATTTAAAAAATTATTTCTGGTTTTCATAAGGAGTAATTTTTGTGCCTTCAAATGGCACTCAGCCAGAATTAGTCTGACTCAGCTTAATAGAACCATTTTTGTTCTCACAAGACTCTTCTGTACTTCCTTGAAATATTCATCCCTCACCCTGCCTGCTTTTCAGGGTGTTTCATTACAAGGCTTCTCTCTCCTTAAAGGCTGTTGGGTTAATATACAGTATTCTAATGCCACATTTCAGAGCCAAAGCCGCATGACACATGCAGGCTTTCTACATGACCTAAAACAGGGAACAGCAATAATGAAAAATCCAGCCCAACATCTTTTAATGACCAGACATTGGGCAGCAAGAGGGTCTTTTCCCCTTGGCTGTCCTCAGAGACCAGCTGCCTTTGCAGCTTAACAACTGGTGCCTGAGTTTGCATCTTTCTTCCTGCCTCCATTTTTCCTTTCAGGCCTTATCTCTTAAGACTCTAAGTTTGAAGGAAGGGAAAGTCATGTATTTTACTGATTTGTAAGCCACTCTGGGACCAACTAACCATGTTTTGAATAAGCAAAGCAAATTAAAACAAAAAGGTCTTTGCCCAACACATCCTTGGGGTTCCCATAGCAAATTGCATGACACCCCAAGCAGCCACACACCTTCAAACAACCAGAGGTATTGGCTTGAACCTCTCAAGCCCCTGAAGGCAAGCAAGGTCACCCTCTTCCCCAACATGCCGATTCCACAAGGCCCCTCTGCAAGCCAATACCTTCTTCTGCCAAAGGGTTTTGCCTGCATGCAGAATCCAGCCGCTGCCTTTGTTTGGGAAGAGGAACCCTAAAGGAAGCCTTTGCTGTTCTCTGCTTTTGTAAGGCCCACAAACCACATGGGGACACAAGGCCCACAAACCACATGGGGACACATTGCACCTGTAGCTCTCAGGTACCTGAGTGGCGATGTTTGTAAGGAGGCGTGAGGCCAACATCATCCCCAATGAGAGTCCTTTTCTTAATCACGTCGCGGTGGAGCCTGCGTGAATGGTATCTCCGCTTCCTGGAAAGCCACACAGAGAGGACACAGCTGTCACATACACCACCACCAAGAACAGAAGGAAATACCTGTCTGTTCCCTTCCCCGGCAGGGTGGGTCACAGAGCTATAGGCTGCCTCCCTTCCTCACTCACCAGGAGTTGCTCAATATGCCTTTCATGCCTCCATAATTGGGATTCCCATATTTCATGTAATACTGGCTCCTCCTGGCAGCCCCAAGCTCCTTTTTGTCATCTGCAGGAGCAAAGCACAAGCTCAGGGACTACCGTCGGATACTTGCTTTAAAAGTGCCCATCCTATCAAGAACCCCCAATCGAAAACATTTCAAAAAACACGATGCAATTTTAATCAGCAAGGCAGCAGCACAGGCAAGACACACACACCCCAACAACGAAAAAGGCCAATGGAAGACTCAATTGCCATTCTACCCATCTACCCTCAGAAAATGTGTTTTCATAGAGCATCTAAGACCAAGCCAGGAGGGAGTGGGAGAGTCCTGCTGGAGGAGGAACCGCCCGTCCTGTTTATTTTTACACTAGAACAAACCATCCCTACAGGAGAAGCGCTTTACCTCTGGTAGCAAACCTCATGAAGAGCTTGTTGCCTTTGGCCAGTTTACTGGCTGGACGCAGGTCATTCCGCAACAAGGAGTCTTCCTCCGCCTGGGAGAGAGTGTCCAGCTGTGGAAAGAACACCTGTCAGGCTCAATCTCTCTGCAGGGGCGGAAACTACTGCAAAGGCCTGATTGTTAAAAAGGGGCAGCAATTTCAGCTTCGCCTGAAGACACAATATGGGTGCGGAGAAGCCCAGAGGTCCTGTACCCCAGGGTTCAGAGACCGATCCCAGTAAGGGGTGGGGGAGGGCTTCTTGGAAGCATATGGCTGCCCTCAGAGGGGAGGAAGCAGGAGGCTTAACTAGATAGGCCACTTTGGTGTGCTCCAGCAAGACTCTGCTTGCCTTCTCATGACATTCCATGGGAGCAGGGAGGAGAAAGAGAGAAGTGTTCTTATATGGATAAATAGCCAAGTATTTGATTGCTGAAAGATGCTCTTCCTGGCAGCCTTAACATTATCGGTTTTTTATTACAGCTTGAAAAACAAGGAAAACATGATACAGAATACCCTGTGGGTATAGGGTGGTATACAAGTGTAATAAACAACAACATCAAGTACGAAGCACTTTTTAAACATAAAAACTAAGAAAGAGAAAAGAAGGGGGAAAAGCAAAATACTTCTGATTCTTTGTCTATCAGCTATATAAACTTATGCAAAATACTTGCTCTTCTACTTTCCATAAACCATCCTTTTTTCAGTCCTCAAACCCAGATAGCAGTAGAAAATATTCCTAGGCAAATGGGGAAATGAGTACGTCTGCATCAGAAAATGTTCGGATGCCCAAGTGAAACATGCCTAATTCAGCACGTTTATTCTACTTTTATTCTTAGAAACTGCCAAGTTCACCTAATGTTTATCTGACACTAGCACCCATTCATTGTTACTAGTGAATTTTCCGTGGAACTATAAAGCAGTGAAGATTTCCTGACCCAGCCTCCTGCACTGACCTCAGTCTCATTCGGATGGTCGTCTTCCACCTCGCCCTCCTCTGCCTCGTCATCAGAGCTCTCTTCCTGTTTCTCTGAAATGAAGTGCACACAAAAATGAATGTCAAAAGGTGGTGTGTGCCATTGGATGATGTGCTGCTTCACCACCTCCAACTGCCACAACTCCATAGAAACCACCCCACGAAGTGGGATCCCTCCACAGGAAGGAGGGGAGAGGAGCAGGCAGCTTGTGCCACACGGGGTTGAGAAGCAGAAGTCCATCTACAAGAGGGAACCCAACTGAGAATGTTCTCAAGGTACAGCTTTGCTTTCTCACTGAACAGCAAGGGATGGTGATATTCGAAAGGGCACACAGCTGAAGGGCAGGGAACCTGCTCTGCATGCATATGGCCCCAGGCAGCAGCAGTGGGGCTGGGAAAGGCATGGAGCCCTGAAGGAACAGAGGATGCTGACCTATGAGACCGAGACAGGCCTCTGGTCTCTCCAGCTCAGTACTGCCTACACTGACTGGTAATGCTCTCCAGGGCTTCGGGCGGAGGGGTGCAACCGATGTCAGTCTCGCTGAAATTTAAGGGCATAAGTGAAGTCACATCCATTAGTTTGAATGGCTTTGCTCTGAGCAGCACTAACAATGGTTGCCACCCAGGGGGTTTTCAGTGATCCCAAGGATCTGCATACCAAGGGGTTGCTCTGCCAGTGAGCTCAGGCCCTTTCTGTAAAACATTCAACGTTGTCTCAGTGATGTAACTCAGTGCCAAGCAAGCAGTTTCATAAGCACATCCAACCTGGGCTGCAGGTTATTCATGACCATTGGTAGCCACCTTGAGGGTCCCATGTGCCAGGATGAAAATAAGACCACAAACATCAATTTTTAATATATGACCAGATTCTGCTGGCAGCTATGGCAGCTCTCAGCGGTCTTTCCCAGCCCTGCCATCCAAAAGCCTTTTCTCCCTGGTGACAGAGACAAAACACACTGAACTTTGGACCCCTGGGCTTTTGCCACCCCGCTTGTAGCCTGCCTTTTCTTGAAGGAGCTCCAGGAAGCAGTGGCTTTACAATGGGATTTCTCCTTTCCAAGGCTGAGAAACAATGAGGCCTTGAACCAGCACTTCACACAACCGAAGGCAATACTCCAACCAGTGTGCCACCCTGGTTGGTCCCAAGGGTGGCACTCCAGAAATGCACTGAGCAGCTCTGAGTGCAGGTGCCCAGGCGAGCCACGCCTCAAAGGCCAGAGCTCAGGGACTCCCTCCCCAGGGACCAAGGAAAGGTCAGCTTCCAGAAGCATCTACCTTTCTTGCTTGCCTCCACCACCGCCACCTTCTTGCTGTTTTCTTGGGGTTTCATCTTCTCCTCCTCAGGCATAGAGCTCATGTTGATGAGCGCTCGGGTGGCTGTTACCTCGTCAAGCCAGACAACGTTGCCTTCAAGCAAAGCAGAGAGCCAGTCGGTGGCCCAGCCAGATAAAATGACAGTGCTGCAATGTCCCAATGCACAGGGCAAGCATGAAGCTTTGTTATGGTTTCTCTTGTGCATGAGGTGAACAATCCTGCACTGCTAGCATCTAAACACAGAATGGGGAGCGGGGGGACATGACAGACAGACAGACAGAACTGGGTCCAATTCACCCCACATCAGCCAAGAGCCGGGGGGGTTACACACCCTCAAGCAACTTACATGAAGTGTCATCCAGCCACTCGATGTGAGCAGGAGGATACTCCTTGAAATAGGCAAAGATGTCCTGGGTGCTCATTTCATCAACACCACAAACGTAGATGGTGTCCAGCCGGACTTTCGGGATGGCTGCAAAGAAACCCATTATCTCCTTTAGCTGCCAGCAACAGGAGGCAGAAACACATGATGGGGAAAAGGAAAGGAAGGGCACGAGAGGCCTCACTAAGTGGCAATGATGAAAAAGTCATTACAATTTGCAGAGAGGCAAAGAACCGCAAGAGAGGAAGATGGTGGGGAGAATAACAACCCACCTCATGAGACATTTTTTAGGGGCAGGGTTTGAGATAAACTACTAGACTATTTTATTTTAGAATGAGTCAGTTATGTTTTAAAGAGAGGGTTTAAAACTATTTGCATTATAGCAGCACTTTCTCCAGTTTATTGATAAAGCTGACTCTTCCTTCCAATTTTTAAAAATCCTTTAGTTTACTACAATGCTGATGTTTTTTGTATTCAGTATCATTTCTCTCGCCCTCTCCCTATATATTCTCAACCGGTAAAAGCCAAGCTCTGTTGGGCTCAATCTCCAACATGGGGGCATATTTACGTAGAAAAAAATTATAAACCACTTAATAATAACAAGTCTAAGCAGCGTACATACATTAATTCTCAATAATAAAATCACCCCCAAAATAGGCATACATAACTAGATTATGCCTGTGTTACCAACTGAAACAGTATAGTTAGCATGCCTGTCTAACAGCATTTGCAGTTCTTGTTTAATAAACTGGGGCATTTATATTTCTAAATTTATTAACAGTAAAAAGTATATTTTATATGCTTATGTATAACTTAACACATGAATATCGGTATTATTTCTGTGATCATTACATTTCGAAGAACATAGCAAATTATGCTTCTTAGTATTAAACTAAGTTTAGAGCTGGTAAGAAATAATGCATATATTTCCATTTCCTTTAAAAAAACAACAAAAAAACCCAGAAAATACTGATTTTTCCCAATGCTTCAAAATTTCCAGAAATTTTATATAATGATGTCCCCACAGCCACTGTTACACATGAACACTTTAAACATTGTAATCCAAAGTGCTCAGCCAGAAGGCTCCACATATTTATACCACAAGTCATTTCTTACAGATATGATAGCTTGTGAAAAACTGGAAGTTTTCTGTCATCAGCCTCTTCTCCCAAGTAAATAGATTTTATTGCTTTATAAAACAAGAAAACTCACGAGGAGGAAAAGCCCCTCCTTCCCAAAGGCCAGCTCTGGAATCCCCTGATACAGAAAGGAGCCTGAAGCTCAAGAAGAACAATATCTCTTGTTGCTTAAGCCGCTTTCTAAGCCACACACAGCTCCAAATACCTTTCTTCACCATGTCTCGGTCCAACGCCACGTTTCTTTGTGCGAGATTCACCTCTGCACGGAAATGAAAACGCTTTGCTCTTTGCTCCTTCTTCTCGATGGCTTCCTACAAAAAGCAAAGGCATCAAAAGGAGAAAGAGCCGGCTAGTCAGGCATCATAGGCAAACCAGGAGTCATAGAGCAGCTGGCTCCTGACACAGGAGGAACAGAGAAAGTTCATCACAAAACCCTACAGCTAAATCCCTCGTCTGACAAAGGATTGCCTCATTACCTGACACAGAACAGCAACAAAACTTATGGTCTGGTACTTCAGGAATGACAGGCCTGTTCCCTTACAACAAGCCTCCATGCAGTTTGGACATTTCTGCCTCTCCCAAACTGGGTGACGAAATCCAAAGTAAGTATGGTGGGTGAAGTAAAACCTAGAGCCAAGTTAGCATTGCAGCAAAAAGTGCCCAAAGGAGTGGCTTAAAACAGGGATGCAAACATCTGCGGGAGAATGCTGGAGGCTGGCTTTTGAGGTAGTTACAACAGTTTGGTGACACAAACTCTCTTTGGGTTTGATGGCTGGAACCTTCCTCTCAGAAGCAGGCGTCAACTGGCATAAAAAGCTGTTCGGAAGCAAGTCCTAGTTCTACCACTAGTACCAGCAGACCCCCAACAAAAAGGGAAGTTTCCTTTCTGAAGTAAAACTCCTCTTCTTATAAACAGGGCAGTAGAGGGGCTTTGCAGCCTCAATGCCGTGACACTCGGATACTTTGTGTAGCTGTGACACAGCCATCCACAGCTGCCAAGAACTGCTGCTGAGCTGCCTAGGGAGGACTCCCCTGCTAGGAGGACCCCTGCCTCTCTCCACATGGCCTAGGGCAGGGCCTGGCTGGCCTCATAAGGACTGCTGCTGCGGCTGCTGTCCAACAAGGACTGGGGCATTTGGGGGAAAGTTTTGTTGGGAGTTTTTGCTGTTGTTACTGATATTAACTTTTTGTATCTTTATTTTTATGTGGAAATTGTTCAGTTTAGTTATGTTGATTTTAATGTGTTATTTATTTTTATGACTATTTTGCTATGCTTGTAATTATGTAAATCTTTTCATATTGTAAGCCGCCTTGAGCATTGTTTAACTGTGAAAAGGCGGCATACAAATAAAATGATGATGATGGATTCCCAGCAGCTGCCACCTTACGAGCCTCCTACACTTCCAGAGGTGGCATTCTGAGCCCTTCAAAATAATACCAACACAGCCTACAAAACACAGAAAGAGCCATTTGGCTCAACCCCTGTAACAAACCCAGCTTCTTCAATAAAGTGTTACAGCACAGAAATACCATGTGCAACAGCCAAAGATAGCTTGTGTCGCAAACATAAAGGTGCCCATTATCAACTGAATGCGTAAAAAACTAGCAACATAACAAATGATATTATCAGCTGTAGAAAAATAGACGAACTGAGTCTGAAACCCGCCATTTGCTATAGCAGGCATGTCCAACCTATCGATCGCAATCTACCATTCGACCACAGGACGTCCCTTGTTGATTCTGGTCGATGGTGTGATACTGAAAGCTCCCCCCCCCCCAAAAAAAATAGCTCAACAACTTTGGTGCAAACACCCCCCCCAAAAAAAGCTCAACACCTTTGGTCAATCCAATTGGTAGATCACTGCAAGTATTTTTATAGTGGGAGTAGACTGCAGTCTCTTGGGAGTTGGACATGCCTGTGCTATAGTTTCAGGTTTGGTGTAAAACCTCCAAGCATGGAATACCTTTGAAGTGACATCAATCCCAGTGATGAAGCTCCCGGCTTTGTTTTCGTATCTTCTGCTGGTGTCCTGAAATGAAAACAAAATCATAAGTAAAGCAGATAAGCAAGCTACAATTCTACATCGGGCCATACACAGGTGCTGCTTTTGAGGCCTCAGAATGCCAAAGGACACCAGACGAGAAACCGTTTACTGATAAAAGAGGGGAGCCCACCACTGCTGCCCACCTTCCGTCGAGAGCTCCACACCAGGTGACCTTCTTCGTAGGGCCAATTCACAAGGCCGCTTCCACCTGCTGCAGCTTTTCCCTCGGCCAGGGCAAAGGGCAAGTGCAGCCAGCCGGCTCCCTCTGCCAAGCGACAGTAGCCCACTTAGAAAACAAAAGCGGGGCCTTCTTGAAAGCTGACCCCGCCACCCCCGTGTTACGTGGGGCTTGAGAGTGCCACGGGCGACCCTTTGTCTTCCGAGCTCTCGCCGACCTGCCAGAGCCCGGCCCTGAGTGAGGAGGCGGGTGCGGAGGGGTCGGAGGCCCCACCCATCGCCATGCGGGGTTGGGGGGCACGAGGCCCCTCTACCCGTGGTGAAAATGCACTCTGCCCATGCCCAAGGGAACTCTCTCCTCTCCGACTTTGCAGGCCCGAGGCCTTCCCACCCCAGCCCCCTGTCTCCATTACCGGCAGCAGCTCCCTCAGCGAGCGCCGCACCGGCACCTCCAGCTCCTCCTCTTCCCCGTCGTCGTCGTCCTCCTCGTCTTCGTCGTCTTCTTCTTCTCCTCCGGCGGGGGCGGCGTCGGGCGGAGGAGGCGCGGCGTCTGGGCCCGGGCGGGGACGGCCTGGCCTGCACCACCAGCAGCTCGCCCTCCTCCACCTCCATGGGCTCCGGCTCGGCCGCCTTCACGGAGATGCGGAGGCCCCGCACCGCCGCCATCGCCTCACGAAAAAGCCGCCGCCACCGCCGCCGCCGAGGGAGGGAGGGACCGGAAGCAGGAAGGGCCCACAGAGGGAAAGGCAGCCCGGATGTCCGGAGAGAGCGTCGCCGGAAAACGGCAGGGGGCGCCGGTGCAGAAGAGAGAAGAGGCACAGAGCGGGCCCAGGACGAACACCGTCTCGTCATCGCCCCCTTCAGGCGCGTCTCGGAACAAGACGTACCAACAGCCACCAGTAGGGTTTAGGCAGGGCCATACTGGCGGACTCTGACCGGCAGCCTCTTCGGGGCGCGCAGGGAGCACGTTTTTCTCACTGCAGCTGCTGCCGGCTTCGTCATCTCGGGTCTGCTTGTCCCCTCCCTCCATAAATCGGTCCAATCCGTCTCTAAACCCATCCAGGTTGGCAGCCACCACTGCCTCTTCTTGTAGCAGAGAGTTCCACAGTTTAATTCTGCGCTGCTGCGTAAAGAAGGTCCTTTCTCTCCTTTGCTTGCGAATCGCCTTCCCTTCAGCTTCAAGGGAGCAGTCCATTTGAACTGGGGCTAGGAGAGGTTTTCTCCCAATCCACTTTTTCTGCATGATGCATCATCTCTTATTATTATTCTATCAATTGGGACCCAATTCATGGGGCCAAGGTCCCTTTGGTCCCCAGTAAAATATTTGAGGGCGCTGGGCCCCCAAAGTTGATGGGCATTGCCATTCAGATGGTGTGCATGCACCACATCTTGTGATTGATCACACGGGGCAGGGCTTAACTGGGCCTCCCAATATTTTATTCAAGTTGGGACCCCTGAATTAGAGCAAATAATAAAGATGATAATGGGCAACCTTGTTTTGTCCTGCAGCTAAATTGACATTTTTTGTGAATCCATATTATGCTAATTGTAGGAGATGTACTATCATGCATATTTTCTAATATTCTGAAAAATTTAGGGCCAAATGCATTCTTTTCATCACTCTGATTAAATACTTTGGTTCCATGCAGTCAAATGCTTTAAATATACCTAGTGATAAACAGGCTAGTGGTGAGGTTGTCTGTTTACTATGGTATATTATGTTTAATAATTGCCTAACTGAGTCTGTGATTTTACACACCAATACAAACCCAGCTTGATCCAGATGAATCATTCCATCAATTTTTATGGGAGTTTGGTGGGTGATCGTTCATCATTTTCTTGTTTCACGTAGTCAGCCAATAAACGGTTGCCAGGTACTTTAAAAAGAAAAAGTTCTGGCATGCCTTGATCGGTCCAGACTTGATTAGTCAATGCATTCTTTTTTCTTAAAAGGCCAAACATCTCCACATTTTTATCATGCTTTAGCCTATCCTGCCCTTTCCTGTGAGCTCAAGGAGGGAAAGAAAGAGCAGCGAAGAATCCAAACAAACCCATCTGGTGCAGAAAAAGCGGCCAAGTCAACAGACACTCAGTCCTATTTGATCCTGGCCCTGGAATGCGAGCCCAAAGTGGGAGCTCTTGGCCCCAGGCCCCCCAAAATTGAGGGGCAACAGCTTAAGGTTCACAGAAAGCTCCCTGGCCAAAGAAACCGAGACAGCCTCTCTTATATACAGATGGACACCTGCCTGTCTGTCTGATGCAGCCTGGCTGAGCCCTGCAGAAAGCAGATGCAATCCCACCAGCAAACCTGGTGCAAGGCCTGATCCTGCAGCTTGCCTGTCACACTTGAATGTGAAATGCCTCCTTGCCGCAGAGACACAAGTCCTTTACATTTCTGATTTTTAAAAGTGAAACCAGGGCCACCTAGGCTGGTTTTCTTCCTACTACAGTGGTACCTCGGGTTAAGTACTTAATTCGTTCCCGAGGTCCTTTCTTAACCTGAAACTGTTCTTAACTTGAAGCACCACTTTAGCTAATGGGGCCTCCTGCTGCTGCCGCGCCGCTGGAGCATGATTTCTGTTCTCATCGTGGAGCAAAGTTCTTAACCTGAGGTAATATTTCTGGGTTAGCGGAATCTGTAACCTGAAGCGTATGTAACCCGAGGTACCACTGTACTGTACCTCCAGCCTGGCATGGCAGTCTCAGCTGACAAGTGCAGATGGAAGCCCCCTCCGGCAGCCTGGCCTGCCGAGGAGGAACTGTTCTGTTCCCATATTTTACAGACTGATTTACAGTTGGGCTATGGCTGTAAATCCGTCCTCTCCTGGACAGCCAAGATTCCAGAAGGGCTGCAGCCATCCTGGCAATAAAACAAGCCAAGTCCAGACACATCTTGGGAGAAGAGCCACCTGGGGTGGGGTTGGGGCTGGAAATCCTGTGAGGAAACTGCCAGATAGCGGAAGTTGGGATTGGAGCAAGAGAGGGAGGGCAAGGGAGGTTTGGGGGCCCCCAGTTTGGCTCCTGAGGGAGACAGGCAGCCAACGGAGCTGGGTGGTGGTGGTGAGAAGTTGGCAGGGTTAGAGGGGACAGGGATTAGGATAGAGGCAGTATGGTGTAATGGTTAGAGTGCTGGACTAGGACCTGGGAGAGCAAGGTTTGAATCCCCACTCAGCCCTGAAGCTCACTGGATGGCCTTGGGCCAATCACTCACTCTTAGCCTAAGCTCCCTCTCAGGGTTGTTGTGGGAAAGAAATGAGGAGGAGGAGAACCAGGCACATCACCTTGAGATTCCTGGGAATATAAAAGTGGTACATAAATGTAAAAAATAAATAAATAGGATGTGGGAGCCAGGGAGAGCAGGGGCTCCTGGCTTGTGGTTTTCCTCAGTCTTGAGTGACCCGAATGTTTTAGGCCAGGTGAATTTGACCTGTGCTTAATTCATTTCTAAACTGGGCAACTTTAGAAGAGAAGGAAAAGGAGCATTTCAGAGTTTCCCTCCTCCTCCTCCTCCTCCTCCTGGCTGCCTTCCTTGACCTCCCCAACCCCCAGGCCTAAATCGTAGCCTTGCCAAAGGAGCAACCCTAAGCAAGGAGCCTCTTTCGCACCCAGATCTCCCCCTGGCAATGTTGGCTGGCTTTCCACACCTGCTTGCCTTGGCGGTTCCAAGTCACATTGAGAAAGAGAGAAGGGGCCACGCCAGGAACAGCTGCCCCTTCCCACCGGTGGGCTGGATTAGGGGGACATAATAGGCCTCTCCTCCAGAGCAGGGCAAGGGAAGCCAAATGCAGTGGAGACTAAGGGCCAGCTCCCGCCGGACCAGGGCAAGGAGCAAGGCCACCTCCTTTGCAGGGGCTGGTTACGAACCCCTTCTGGAAGCAGGGTTTGTCTATAGAGCCCCCAAGCAAGGCTCAGCCCTGGCACTTGGGAAATCAATGTCAGAGAAGTCTGCCCCCGAGCATGTGCAGAATGCCTTTCACTCATCACAGATCCCCGTCAAATATGAAGGAATAATAACAAACCCATTTCTCCTCGGCAAAGTTGCCAACTCCCCACACAGCCCCTGTGTTTTTAAAACCTCCTGGGCTTAGAAAATGTGAGCCAACATAGAATCATAGAGTTGAAAGAGACCCTGAGGATCACCTAGTCCAACCAGCTGCAATATGCTGTTGTCCCATAAGGGGATTGAACCTGCAACCTTGGCATAATCAGTACCAAGCTCTAACCAACTGAGCTATTGGTTGGATGCCTCTTGTTTGACTGCAGGAGGCAGGGGCACTTGAGAGCAGCAGCCTGCCATTCTACACATCGACAGGCAAAGGGCTCTGGGAGTAGGCAGGGGACAGCAAACTTTTTCAGCAGGGGCTGGTCCACTGTCCCTCAAACCTTGTGCCAGACTATATTTTGAAAAAAATAAAAATGAACGAATTCCTATGCCCCACAAATAACCCAGAGATGCATTTTAAAAGGACACATTCTACTCATGTAAAAACATGCTGATTCCCGGACCGTCTGCAGGCCGGATTTAGAAGGCGATTGGGCCGGATCCAGCCCCCCGGCCTTAGTTTTCCTACCCATGTAGTAGAGCTAGTGAAGGCAAGGAGCGCTTGGGGGAAGGAGCAAAGCAAACTTAGCAGGCAGTTGGAGCGGGGGGGGGGGGAGTAAAGGGACCCTCCAGGGTGGTGCAGCCAAGCATTTGTTATCATCCCCAAGGAATGTGTGGGGAGGATTGGCCAGAACTCCTGGAGAAGTGTGGCTGTCAGCGTGAAACCGGTTCTCCAGCGTCGGCCTGGCAACTCAAAAGCCCCCAAGGGTGTCCTTTAAGGGGAGCTGCAGGGGATAAGAATCATACAATTGTAGAGTTAGAATGCACTTAAGGGTCATCTAGTCCAACCCCCTTGCAATGCTATTATTATTATTATTATTATTATTTATTGTTGTCCAACATGGGGCTCAAACCTATGACCCTGAGATTAAGAGTCTCATGCTCTACCAACTGAGCTGTTGGGGCTCTGGAACGCCCAGGGGGTCGCCATATAGAATCCAGGGAGGAGGCGAACAAAGAAGAGGAAGGAGAGCACACAAGCAGGATTTAGGCAGAAGAGCCCTCTCCCTTCCTGTGGTGCTCAGCAGCTGGTATTCAGAAGCATCACCTCTGGCTGTGGAGGCAGAGCCTAGCCATTGTGGCTAGCAGCCATCGATACGCTTCTCCTCCACAAATTTGTCTGGGCTTCTGAAGTCACCCAAGCTGGTGGCCATTGCCTTCTCTTGTGGGGGGGGAGTTCCACAGGTTAACTCACTGCTGGTGAATCTTCCAACAGTAGGGGAATTGCCTCAGCATCCTGGTGCAATCCCACACTGCAGGGAGGACAGTGTGCAAGTGGATAGGGTAGCAATGAAAGGGGGGGCAGTCTCTTGGGTCTTTCCCACCAGACAGCCGCCTGTGTCCCCTTGCTCTGCCATGCCAATGTGGCTCCACCACGGGTCTTGCAAGTAAAATGCTCTACAGCGGTTCTCAACCTGTGGGTCCCCAGATGTTGTTGGACTACAACTCCCATCATCCCTGAGTTCTGGTCTTGCTAGCTAGGGGTGATGGGAGTTGTAGTCCAACAACATCTGGGGACCCACAGGTTGAGAACCACTGCTCCAGAGGATGCCGGCCGGCCTGCCTGCCTGCCTGGGGTTTTCCATGCAGCCAGGAGATTCCTTCCACCTTCCAATAC